GTCCGTTCCCGGCGGCGCCGGGCCTCCTCCCTTCCCGCTGCCGGCCACCGCGGGCTGCCGCCTGGAGGCTGCGGAAGGTGGACGTGTAATTGATTTCTTCAGAATCTGAAAGGCTCATTTCCCTCCATTCCGCGCTCACTGAACGTCCTGTTGAAGCATAGGGGCTCGTCAGCCCCGCCCTGCTCTCGGAGTTCAGTCTCTGAGACTTTCAAAGTCGGGAAATCAACCGTGTGCGCGGAAAAGGGCTGCACTCGCGTCGCGTCGCGTCGCGGTGGGTGGGCCGGGAGCAGAGTGAGTGGGTTTCAAGGAGGGACTTGTCAGGTGATCTTGGAGAGGGGACCTCGGGAAGGGCTGCATAGGAAGAGACCTTTGGCTACTCACAGTGAATGCGTTCTTTGCTCAAAGCTGGTCTCTTCTGCTAATACATAACTTTACCACGTGCTTACTAGTAAGCTATACTCTATTATTCCGGTTTTCATAATCCCATGCACAAGTATTATGATTATGCCGCTTTACAGATCAGGAACAGGAATGAATCACAAAAGCATTAAGCCAGTCCTCCTTGGACACTCCTTTCATAATCTCGGCCCAGTTTTGACCATGGAATGAGTGTCAATATAGAAACCAGTGGTAGTTATCAGGAATTAAGCTCCTACTCTGTGCTTAACCTATTCATTGATTTTTGTCGTTGCATACACTTTAAAAAGTGGGCACGATTATTATTTCCATCTTCTGGAGGGAGAAGACTGCACAGGCTAAGAAACTTTCTGATGACTTCCTAATGTTTTCTGCTTACTTCCCTCCTTCGCTGAGAACACGGAGCCTCCTAGTTCTTGCCTCTATACTCGAATGTCTAATAAATAAGCTTGTGAGAAACACCACCATTACGCCAATCTCTCCTCCCACTTCTCAGTAAGTGCTTGACATGACCCTGGAACCTTCTCTTCAACATACCGCCTCCAGTCCATTAGCAAGTCCTGTGTGCTTTGGGATGTTAAGAAGCTGAACTCTTCTCACCATCCCCACCCCCACTACCACTTCCACAACGTGGAAAGTGACACTAGTTTAACTGATCTCCCTGTTTTTGCCATTGCTCCCTATAATCTCATTTCAACACAACAGACAGGGCACTCAATGATTTAATTTTTGGAAAGACCAGTATATCACTTTTTTTCTTTTGTAACTTGACATCTCTGTCCTGTTTTTAAATCTTTTCCTTACTCAAATACATTATGACTTTCTCCTGTAGTTTCTTCTAGAAGTTTTATCACCACAAAGAAATGTGGACTTGGCTGGAGTTCATTCACTAGTCAGAGGGCATAGGGCACTTTGTCCATGAAGTAAAAAGAGATTTTTTCTTAGCAGTGTTCCTTGTCAGAGTTATGACCACTGTATTCTATATTACCCAAGAGAAACAAAAGCACACACACACACACACACACACACCTGAATGTCTGGCCAAAAACTGGTAGTAATTCAGCAGGGGACTGAATTCTGTTTGTGCAGAATAATTCTGCTCACTCAAAAAAATGAACAAATTTCATACATGAAACAAAATGATTAAATATTAATATGTGGCCCTCCCTGGTGGTACAATGGGTTAAAGCACAGAGCTACAAAGCTCTCTGCAGCACGAGTTCAATCTCCGGCCAGGGAGGTGACCCACATGGCACAGCAGTCTTCTCCTGTCTCGGCTCAGCAGTGCATTTCAGTCAACCCGCCTGTTCTGCTCCCTGCTCTGTCTCTGGTGAATCCTCTCACCCACCACACCTCTGGCCTGTACCCCAGTTCTTGTGTGCATAAATAAATAAATCTTAGGGGAAAAAATCTCCACTGTGTTCCCAACACATTTGCAATGAAAGCTGAAGTCCATAAGTCCCCAAAGTGGACTCTGAATCCACAAATCATTTATCTCCTCCTCCTCTTGGGCCTCGTCACTCTTCCGTGTTCATTCACGCTCCTTCCTGCCTCTTGGCTCTCCTGGGAGCATCCTTTGCCTTCACCCGCTCAGGGCCTTTGCTCATGCTGCAACTGCCCTCCCTGGGTATATCTAAGCCACCCTACTCCTTCACTGTCCCTGGGTTTCTGTCCAAATATCACCATCTCAGAACACCCTCTTTTGATAATAGCAGCCCAGCACCCTTCAAGCCATCACCCTGCAAGCCATCGCCCTGCTTAACACCCAGCACTTTCTGCTCCCTGACATCACGTGTGTGTTCATTTTCTCCTGTTACACTGTGCACTCCCTAAGAACAGGGGTTGTGTGTCTATTTCGCTGCTATATAAGTACCTCACTACTAGATAAATATGACCAGACTTAATGAGTTACAAAGTAACTTGATTAATCAATAAAATTTGGCCAAGACTGCATAGGTAGTCAGTGACCACAGAAGTAAAACCTAGCTTTGTCCCATGAGAGTGCAGGTAGCCTCGTCTGCTGCATACATGTGGCTCCTCCAGAGCGTGCCTGTGGGGTGGGCGCCACAATGGGCCTCACTTAGCAGAAGGAGAAGCAGGATTAGGAAGAGAAATCATTTGTCCCCCAGGTCACATAATGAGTCTATGGCAAGGTCTGCTGACATCTGGATTTGGGTACCACGTACAGACAAGCACATGACCCCAGTGCATAGCAGGAGGGTCTAGGAGGGGAAGTTGCAGGAGTCTGGTGCTGACAGTGCACTGCCTGCTTGCTCTGACCACAACTGCTTCTGAGAAAGCTGGATAAAAGTTGCTCAAGCTGTTTCATGCCTCTGCCTTTGCCCAGATGTTCCTGCCTGGAACGGAACGCCCTTCCTTCAGGATTTGCCCTGCTTCCTCTTGTCCCTGGATACATGGTTTCAGCATCACCTTCTCGAGGAGGTCTTCTCTGACTCTGACTGTACCAAGTCCAGCTTTATTGTGACATTCGAATGAGCAATGAATGAACGGTGCTACCCCACTTTCATTCAATCACCCAACCATTGATTCAGGGCAGCAGAGGACTGAGAAAAGGAAAGATACTCAGTAGCACTGAGGTAGGAAAATAAAGCACTGGGGCAGCAGCAATCCTGCCCACCTGTGACTGCAGGTGCTTCTTGTCACCAGCCTTCTCCCTTTGCAAAGCCACAGAGGCAGCTTCCTCCCAAAGCTGCCACCTGTGACCACGCGGACCTCTCTTTTAACAAACCTGTCCCTCTCTGGGGCAGCACTGTCTGCCTGCTTGTGTCTGCAGGGTCCTTTGCTTCCCTTCCCTCCTTATAATAGACCTGCCCTTTTGGGTATTTAAATAAAAGAAGGCACTGAACCAGTTGGCTTGTGAAGGATTAGCTCTCCATCACCTGAGGCCTCCAATCGGGACAGTTGGGAACAGCCCCCAGGCTCAATGCCTGCTGGTGTGACCATGGCATTAACCAGCGTGACCAGGAGAATAAAGGGGAAAAAAGGGACTGGAGACATGCGCAGAAGCCTGACACAAAATAGTTTCCAGCTGAACAGAACAAGATGAGAACATTGGATGGAAGGACGCTCTTGGTTTGGGCAGAGGCAGAAAGGATTCCTTCCTCAACACACACCTCATGGTCCCTGAAGGGTAAGTGAATTAATCAGGCTTTTTGCACCACAGGCCGCTGTGGCTAGCACCTGGGGCCCTGATTGCCTTGATGCAGAAGAAGGCACCTGGGAACGTGGGCTCAGGGCACGCGTGCCTGAGTGTGGACACCTGGGGCAGGAGTGTGGGCGTGCCTCAGGGAGCGCAGCTCTAAGGGCAGCATCACTCAGAGCACAGCTCTGAAAGGACAGGTGACCATGGGAGCGGAGAGACCAGGAGAGAACGCAAGGCCAGAGCCTCCCAGCCGCCCCGGCTGGCCTGTGCCTGCCTCCTTGCCTGGTTCCCAAGAGAACACTAGAGCCTGCAACATGCGCGAGGGCCCCAGGACTCTCCTCCAGCTGTTTGCCAAATCCACAGTGGCTCTGCCCTGTGCCTGCTGGCACAGCAGTCCCCTTCTCAGGCTCCTCTTGCTCCTCCTCCTGGGCCCCAAGGCTCGACCATGCTGGACGCCGAACCCAGGGGTATTTGGTGACCTGACAAAATGGCTTCTTGAAGATTTGCTTAGAGTTAACCAGAAGAAAATACGTCCAGATTCCATCCTGTCCCATCCAAAACAGGAATCAGAATCAAGATTTTGGCCTTGGGTAGACCTGGCAGCTAGAGCCTGGTCTCTGTAGCTCAGTTTCCTCATCCATAAATAGGGGTGGAATAACAACACCCACTCACAAGGCTGTGCGAGATGTGATGACTGGATGCGCCTGGTGCGCCACCCTCCCCGCTCTCACTGGCCGGAGGACCAGTTGGTAACACTCACCGCCACAAGGACAATGGGGTTTCTCCGACGGACAGCCTGGAACCAGTCAGAATGCCAGCCTCGAGGTCCTGGGCTCCGGCTCAGCATGGAAGGGGCAGGGCGGACTACACATAGAAGCAGAGGTGCCGGCCTTACCCTCTGCCCCAACCCGTGGGACCCGAGGGTCCATGTCCCGCACCTCCGGAACTTGCTTTACCGTCCCCTGTCGGCATCAAGGGGCTATGAAGAGTGACACAAACCTGCCTGCGAGTCCCTGCGCTTCTGTGTGACGGAGACAGGACACACATCGGAAGCTCAACCTAAAATGGACACACACAGTGGCCCCAACGGTTGCTGCCTTGTGGGGATCTCCCATGTGGCCTCAGGTCAGCTGTGGGTCCACAGGCCAACCGCATTCCCTCTGCACCTGAGTCATCTGTGTCTGTGCCACTGCCCCCCAATCCGTCTCTGGGCCTCTAGGGCCCAGCACAGTCCTCCAGGAGGAATGGAGACAGTGGAACATTGACCTGCACATTGACCAGGAGGCAGGGGCCACCGGGGCTGTGGGACAGGGACACCTGGGTGGGGAGGAACCATCTATAGAGCTTGGCTTCGTAAAGTGATTGGTCCAAGTGCCGCGGAGGTGGGGGTGGCGGAGGCAGTGGGGAGTCCAGTGACACCCCTCCACCCCACCCCCACCCCCGGGCAGCGAAGCCTGGCCAGGAAGGAAGGAATGGAGAGGCTGGTCCTCCCACACGATCTAGTTTAATCTCTGTCCTGTGAAGTAAAGAGTACTGCTGACCCCATTTTGCAGAGGAGAAAGCTGAGGCTCGCAGAGGCGTGACTGGCCCAGCTGTATCTAGCCAGCCCCGACCCCTCCATCGCTCCTCCTCCCTGACCGACGGTGCCGAAAACAGCCCCAGGCTCCTCAGTCCTCCGGAGTCAGGCGACCCTGCGGTCTCTCGGGCGCTCGGGGCTCTCGCGGCGGGGCCGGCCGGCCGGGGGACGCGCGCCATGGAAGCCGGGAGCTGCCGCTACCAGTTTCGGGTCGCGCTGCTGGGGGACGCGGCGGTGGGCAAGACGTCGCTGCTGC